AACTAATACACTATCAGAGTTTTATATATTTATACTTCTCATTCAACCACAGTTAAATTCACTCTATCTAGGAGGCTCAGTTTATATGGATAGTTTTTATTTTTTACAACAACAAGCTGCAATGAAAACAAGCAGAAATGAAATTAAAGTAACGACTTTATACTTCTTGACATTTTTACAAACCTAAGTGTAAAGTACAGATAATTGTGTGAAAATGTAAGAAGTAGAAGTAAAAAGTAGGCTGAAAAATAATTACTCAAGTAAAGTACAGATACCCAAAAATTCTACTTAAGTAKAGTAAAGAAGTATTTGTACTTAGTTACTTTACAGCTCTGTTTACTCTTCAGTTATCCTCAGCATACTTCCTCTATTTCTGTCAACCTAAGCTCTGTTTAGCTTTTAGGTTCTGTCTTGCTAATTTGAGCTATTAGCTACCGTTTTGGTACATTTTGCTTTTAGCTCGTGTTTTTGCTTTTATCTACAGTCTAGATAAAACTTTGCGTTTACTGTTTTGCTACATTTAGATTTAAGCTACCGTTTTGCTAATTTTACCTTTTAGTTCCAGTTTCGCTGATTTTAACTCACCGTCTGCAGCTCAGTCGTGACCTTCATCAGCTCATCCTGCATCTGGATTCCAACGTCTTTGCTCTGAAGGGAAAAATAAAGAATGTGAATAAATAAAACCCCACTTGAAATCTGATTAAATGTGAAATATTTCAAATTAGGATGTGACAACTGCAGCGCTTGTTTATTTCTGGCGACACACAAAATGAAGAAAAAGTCCTGAAGTGTTAACAACTTGTAATTTTTTTAAAGCTTTAACGCGGGACTGAGGCTTCTCTAAACTTAAACAGAACAGAAGAATGAAAAGAAATAATAACTCATCATAATAACTGGGATTTATGTTCAATTGTGCACACACTAATGAAAAACTGTTTGTTTCCTGTAACAAATTTTTAATTGATAAAAACAGATTTTTTACATTTTTTTGGTAAATATTAAGGAAAAAAACAAAGGAAAGAAAGATGAAAATACACATTCATTTATTGTATTCTTGCACATTCTAAGAACTTTGTGATTTTAACCAAGGAGCTTTTCAAAAAATCTGAGATTTAACAAAAGTGCGAATGGTTCAAGTTAAAGGGAATTTTACAAAGTTAAAATCTTAAGTTTATTTTTAGTAAATATCTCAGATTGTTAAACTACCGTCTAAGAATGAAAAAAAAAGTCACGTTCTGCCTCAAAAACACTTTTTTATGTGAGGAATCGAACAAACGCCTACATGTGATGAAATTCACTACAAGGAAATGTATTTAATAAAAAAGGTTTGTTCCTCAACAACACGTTATATTTCTATCTTTAATTTGAAAATTGTTTGCTTGATGAGTAGATTTCCCCCTGCTGAGGAAGGGCAAACTGCTAGTTTGAAATATTCACTAATTACATTCTTTTTAAGGGTTGTACCTTTTGAAGAGTAACTTACCCCCNCTGCTGGGCCTCTGGTAAGGTTTCTGCATCCAGTATCTAGGAATGAAAGACAGAATCTTTAAAAAAAAACTTCAATTCTGAAGTAAAGTACACTCTGGATTAGCCATTT